TTATCTTCCCCGCGGATAGGGATGAAGTGGTAATTAAAAGCAAACAAATCCGCCGGTGATCCTTTATTTTTCTAACAGTATTATTTCCGGGGAAGTTATTAAATCGGCGGTCAAAGTGAACGCCGCGGCTGGGAAGTGAGACCGAGGTATACCGTCCGGGAGTGGGAGAACTGCGATGTGCAGGAAAAAAAGTGTGTGTGCACCTGTTAATACGAACGTGACCAGGGTAACTCGACGACGATGACGGAAGGCGGGCCGAACATAAGTGTAAGTAGCTCGACAGTGATTATACAGTTTGCTCTATTCTTATTATTCAGTAATTGACGGTGGAGCCTCGAAGTCGTTGAAGGATTGAAGGAGGATCTCGTCTTAGTTCCTTCCTTTTGACAATAGTCGTTTAAACTAATCGTTGGTTTCAGTATCAACAACACATTAAACGCTAATCAATATCACTCAGCAACGTCAGAATTCAATGAAAGGGTATCCAATTTCTCAACACGCCTTCCCACGACTTTATCCTGTAATTAACTCCTCGAGTGAAAGTCGGTCGTGCTTCTTACGGGAAGCTTGATTTTATAAATTATTTTATAAGTCCACTCTATTATAGCCAACGTAATCCTCTTGTTTCCATAAATACATTTAATAACCTGTAACATTTCAGTTCTCCTCGTAATAGTCGCGTAGAGTTGCGATAAAGTGAAACAGTGTAACCATGAACGTTTTGAGTAGAAAATAAGGCAAGGGATTAAGCTAGCAGCGTAACATCCTCGGTACCAAGGAATTAGGTGAACATTTATCATTTCCACAAATTGCCAACAAGCGGAATATTTAAAAAATATTGTTCGACTGCCTCCAAGGGTGCGGACGCGACCCCTCAGCTTGTTCCTCGATCCCCTCGGCCGCCTTTAAACGCCGCTGACTTGAATCTATTCTCGTGTTGGATCGTTCTCCATGCTCTCAGCCCTTTCGTTCTCCATATTCCTCAAGTAGGATGTTGACTTCAGACGCGGAGGCCATCCCGGCCTCTCGCTTTCCTCTCCGGGCGCTGCCTTCCCACTTTATTCCCTTGAATCTGTTTCTCTCGCGCCGGTTTTTTCTCGGTTTCCCCTCTCCCCGTTAAGCCGTTTCTTTCCTCAAGTTTCCTCGGCGGCCTCGGCGAGCCACCCTCGATCCCCCCGAACCGGTTTTTCTAGGTTTTACGTCCGCGGGTGTGCTACTCCGCCGCGGCATCGCGTTTTTCCTCCTCCGAGTCTCCCGCCGCGCTGCCCGTCTTTGTCTCCCGCGGAAATTGAGATTGAATAATTGAAACGGCTTCCTTTTTTTTTCGGGTCTCCCGCTGAATTAGCGCCACGCCGGATCGCAGCCCCGTCCCGAGAGAGGCAACGGGACTCTCCCGGGCATGGCGACGCGCGCGCAATCTTAATTACGTCCGATTTATTATTGAAGCGCGCATCTTCGCCAGTTTACCCACGGCGTAGGCACCGACTCTTCTGTTCTGTCGTGTTGTCTCCCGTTTTAATGGCTGGGTTTACGAATGTATCGAGATCGATCGATTTAGATTCCTTTCTCGTGGCCTTCGGTTTTCCGAGGAAGTTTTTAATTGAGCAACGAGATAAAATACACCGATGTGCGTTTTGAAGTATGGTCAGTTGAAATTTTAGAGATTGATATTGTGGTTAGTGTAGGAAGATGTGTATTAGGTGATTCGACAGTTTGTAGTTCTAGTTAAAGATCTTAGTGGCGTCAACAAGGCTGCATCTCATTTACAGTGGTTGGATAAAGTTTAATCGGATAATAGAGAAAGTATGATATTAAATGGGGATTAGTTGGATTAACAACTACTGTAATCTGTTATTTCTATCAATATGAATGTATTATTGGAACAAAGGGGTAGAATAATTTGTCGGTATTATAATAGACAGAGGTAGAATAATTGATACGATAGTAATGAATAATTCAGCATGAACTAGACGGAATAGTAATGTGTATTCAAATACAAATCGAATATGAAAAATTATATCATCGGATATCAGGAACCCATTCATCCAATTATCTCAATTAAACATTCATTTTAGTGGCACGTAATCCTCATTTATAGATCATAAACCCTTTTCCATTCAGTCGAACAATCCCTGCTCTTTTCCACACCGCGATCTATCTCTAAATTACAAGCATTTTCTCTTTTAATTAGATTCACAGACATTTATTGTATTGTTTATTCTATCGTTCCTAGAAAAATTGATTTCATTCTTCTTCTTATTATTCGTTCCTTTGGATCTTAGAAATAAACTGTTTAAAAACGCATTAGGAAATATATTCGCTGATACATAATCGTATCAATCAAACTCTACCAAATATTTACCCAAGAACGTTCCCTAAACCTACTGTTAATTAATCCTTCGCTAGATATATTCAGCATTTTCCAATGAGACGTAGACGTTTCTTTGCAACTAACTGTAAATATTCGGAAAACTTACATAAGCCAATAAGAAATTAATTAATTATTTGCTTTACACAAAATTTAATATCACACACGAGATCTAATTTTAAAATCAACTGGTGAGTCACCTCTAGTGCAAACGATTAATCTCATTTCATTAGTCCCTGAATTTTTCCATGAACCGCGTCTCAGTCGAAGGTATTAATGGTATAAGACGGCAGCCATTTTAATATTTCACGTATTGATGTATTATACAAAATTTAATATGACACACGAGATCTAATTTTAAAATCAACTGGTGAGTCACCTCTAGTGCAAACGATTAATCTCATTTCATTAGTCCCTGAATTTTTCCATGAACCGCGTCTCAGTCGAAGGTATCCATGGTACAAGACGGCAGCCATTTTAATCCCGGACGCGGATTAACGCCTCGAACGCGACGAAACTCCCAGAGGTTGTCCGCGTCTCTGGACAATTTCGACGATACCGCCGCGGATCGTTAACCACTCGTTCAGCCCGAACTTATGGGCCCTGTTAAATTCCGGAAATGACTCCCGGTAATTCCGCGCCGTGCCGGTCGCCGCGCCGATCCGTCGCGGATCCTTTGGTTTATCCGCGGATTAAAAATTCCAATCTCGCGACCCCGCTGTCCCACGCCGATTTCCCTGCGGAATTAAAAGGATAACTGTTTACCAGCCACCGAGCCGTATTTACTGGAATATTATCTCACCCCGGCGGTAGTGGACACGTCGGACGGTCCACCGCCACGGAATGGCGTTCACGTTCGTTCATTTGCTGCGTCAATTCGCCGCGTTGCGTTTTAACGAACCGGTGGCATCGCTCGAATTGAGAATCGCCGGTGAATCGGTTTAGAATTGAAAAAGTGGCAATGAAGGCTGCAGAGTTTGGAACGTTGTGGATTAGCGTATCGCGGTGATCGGCAAGAATAGAGGCTGATTGTGGTAGAGTTTTAATTGGTAAGTGGGTTGCTGCAATTTATTAGGTTTCTAGGATTATCGACAACCAAACTGTGGCAACTTGTTAGTTTCCTAGGACTTCGATTGACAAATGAACTGTCGCAACTAGATTCCTATGGAATCCCTTCGATCGTCTTTGAAAGCTACTAAAATTCTAAGAAGCTACTTGGCAAGCGGATCGTCGCAATCTCCTAGAATCCTAAGAGATCTCACTAGTAATTTTAGCTACCGGTTCTTCGAGGTAAGAATAACCTTCCAAGACTAACTCCGCAACATTATTAAGTCTCGCTAGTAACTATTAACACTAGATGGAACGAGTCAATTTGACTTATATCGAATTTTGTAAGCATTGGTAAATGTTTGGGTCGATCTTTCTTAACGCAGTTATGCATCCTAATTGTCTACTGTTAAACCTCTAATTTCTAAGATCTAAATGAATAACAATTTTTCTAAGAACAATAGAACACTTCAGTAAATGTCAGTAAATCTAGTGTTAACCTTTGCACTCGAGAGGCGACTCGCCATTTGGTTCGATACAGCAAAATCACAAAGTTTGATGTATAATATTAAAGTTCATTTAACGTGATTATCCATGAAACGTTAAAATAGAGTAGTTCTATCCCTAGAATTCTATATTATTTATATTAATGTTAGTTATAAAACCATTGATATTTCATTAGAAAATGAAGAATATATCTAGCGAAACAATGTTCGAGTGCAATGGGTTGATACTCCGTCATTTCCAAGATAAGCTAGAAGAAACTAGAAACTAGAATACTATCACCCAAAAACTGCACACGAGCAGGAAAAGATTACACAACACGTCCACCGAACACAAAATGATGATCCCCGTCGCGGAACCTCTCTAAAGACTGTTTCTAGCTCGGTCATCGCTTTAATCGGCGAAAGGTGGAACGAAGTGACGCGGCGGCCGGACTATGATATCGCGTGTACGTGTGTGCAAGTAGTTGGGGACGCTCGAAACTTTTGGCAGCGTGGGGTTTAGGTTTAGCCGCGCACACTCGGCCGTGTGTGTGGCGCCTGTAGGCGAGACGGCCAAGTTTCTCGGATAGCCCAGGAACGATACTATGCGGCAGAAGTTTGTATCTCTCGCGCGATTCGTTACGGGCGCGTCCAACTTCGCCCGTCAATAATTCAAAAGTTGATAACCGATAGTCACGCGAGCGGGACTGTCACGAAATGTCATGCCCGACCTTTCTCTCGCAATCCCGGACACTTTTTACGATCTCCGCGCGCGGATCGAAGGACGCCGAAGCGGAAAGCGCCGAGTATTACCGTTGTCCTTCGCGATCATGACGGTCACGCGATCATTTTTCCCTGAGGAGGATCGTTGAAAGGATTACCTGCTTCCTTAACTCTTCGAGGACTTTTCTTGTTATTAGAACTACCGATTAGGTGATTTGATTTCTCCTTTCTTCTTTAGCGACTTGTTTGGTAATAAAATTTGATCGGTAATGTGTAACGAATACTTTCCCCTATTGTCCGAGGGAAATTGCTGAAGAGTTTTGAGGATTTTTAAACACTAGGGCTCTCTAAGAGTTCTCTGTGCAAGCTTTTTTTCTGTTATAGCTCGCTTATTAATTATTGACTGTCACTCGTTAATTCATTTGCTCGTTTACTCATTTCATCATAGTTAGTTGACACGTTCGCTACCAGCGCTTATTTTGGTGACGTCTCCTCAATTATATTTTCTTCAATTCAATAAATCTAAACAAAATATTAGAAAATTGAAACTGAAATAAGTCATTGAGTTTCTAAATATAATGTCGCAGTTTATAATTTCTAACAACAATATCCATAGGATTAATTTCATTTTCTTTATATAAAAT